TCTCTGTACCTTTCCTTTCTTGTTGCAGTTGTTTATGAACAAAATAGACAGGAATGCCTCAAGAGACACACACACATCCTTTTCTTTGTGTATAAATGTGGTGTGATCTCATATTTAAGATCAACAAGGAAAAAAACATTATTCTAAATGGTCTTGACACATTTATACCATTTTTAGGTGATGGGTGTACAAGTCTAAGTTTTGAAAGCCATAACTTGATTTTCTCTGAATTATCACAAGGTAAACTCAAAAAAGATAATCCTAGAGATGTTCTCTCAGTTTCATTACAACCAGGATCACAATAAATAGGCATTTTGACAAAAATTAACTCAAATGTGTACAATGAAACTGAGGCTCTAGAAAAACACAACTGATCCATCAAACAGTTTCTCTAAGCACTCCAGACATCACTGCATTTGATAAATGAATATCTAGGTCACTCTCTTAAGGATTTTCTGTTTGATGTGGCAGAGAAGTTGGCAGTAGGTATTTACAAAAAATGTCTTTGTGTCAAAAGAGATTTATTACTTACAAAACAAAAAGGGTTGAAATACATATATACAAGGGGATTCTAGTTCATAATAAGCTATACTATACATGTTATTCAAGATTAAAGTGTTCCTTCAAGTGAAAGATGGTACAAGGAACAAGAGACAAATGGTGCAAAGAGAGGAAGAGTAAAGTCATGGAAAACAACATTCTGGCCAAAAATGGGGAAGTTGCTGGACGAGGAGACAAAATGATAACAAAAAAAATATATAGCAGAGAAAGGACAGGAGAGAGGAATACATGAGGATAATGGGAAGACCCAAACTGCCCTGCAGCCAGCAATGGTCAAAAGTGATAAGCCATGGGCGAACATCCATGTAAAAATTCAGAAAGATGGGCGATAGAAGGATGGGAAGAGAAGAAAGCAGGAGGCTGAGACCAACTATGGAATGTGCACTATTTTCGTGGATAGACAAAGAGGGAAGGAGAACAAGAAGAAAGGCTAAACGTGGACAGAGACTGGAACATCTTGCATGGAATTGTACAAACGACATACATGAAGCTGGAGTGACAACACTGCCAAATAGGAGAGAGAGGTTGAAGGAGTAGGGAACATGACAGAGGTACAGAGGTTTATTAGAGGAAACCATGGCTGAGAGTGCAGAGCGAGCAGAACTCAACACAGTAGTTGAAATGAGGGAAAGCACATGAGGGAAAAGATGAAATAGGAGGGTAGGCATAGAGAAAAAGGTTGGACCTGAGGGTATGTGTCTGCAGCAAGAACTGAGGGATGAGAAATGGGGATCAAAAAAGGGGAAGTACAGTGTTGAGATGGGTAGCAAAATTTTCAAAAAGAAGAGTGCCCACATGAGAGCACAGCTACTGGAACACCAAAGGATCTACGAACCACTCCATAGGTATTATTTTGTCAAGCCAGAGAAAGACAATCCAATACAAGAATCAGGGCATCCAGAATATAACAAGCTATTAGATGTATATATAAATATAAAGAATGGGTCCAGAAAAAGAGAATGAGTGCATGGAAACAGAGAGAGTGAGACCGGTTACCCCCTTGCGATTGATATAGGAGACAACAGCATATTTGTCTATGAGGGTCATACCAAGTATCCACAAACCATCATAAAAAATGATTCAAAGTCCGATGTACTGCCAAAAGCTCTATAACAAAGATAGGAAGGGACAAATTTTCATGAGACCAGTGACCCAATATCGCTTAAGTGTCGAAACATGCTCCTATCTCATCAAGGAGGCACCTAGAAACAGATGGAATCACAGACAAGAGAAAGGAAAAGGGACACCCTCAATGGTATTGGGTGTATCAAGTCACCAGAAGAAGACTTTGAGTAAGGATGGAGAAAGTAAAAATGGAGGAGGACAAGGGATTACAAATGATTAAACAGAGATCATGCAGAGTTCATCATAAACCTCAAAAATGAGCATGACCAAAGGGGAGAAAGGATTCCATGGAAGTCCAAGACCCGAAAACAGAGAGAAACTCCCTCACAGTGAGAGGAGATGATAGGACACAGAAAAATAATTGCTCCATGTCCGTCAAAAAAAAGGGGGGAACGTTAGGCCCTGTGGAGATGCAAATTGAAAAACACTGAAATGAATGAGAAACTAAATGGGTGAGAGAAGCAACTTCTCTAAGTTGACCAACTAACACAGACTCACCACCTCCTGAAGAAGGGGAAGAGGATGGGTGTAGGAGACTTGTTGAAATGGAGCCAAATGAGAAAAGAAGCATCTCAAAAGTCCATCATGATGATCCCAAGACCGGGAGCAAAAGAGCCCCTAAGGTGAGAAAAGTCCCCATGGTAAATTGAGGGAAAGCAATAATCCAACTGAGACATAAAATGCCTAAGACCAGATGCCTAACTACAGAAAGATAGGAGTAAATCCAATAAGAGAATGAGAAACCCCATCCAATACAGTCTTTAGCTATTAAGTCTAACACTGCCATGAATGTTGACAAGAAACAATATCCCTGGGAGGAGGGAAAGTATGGGGAACAGAAGACAAAAGGACAGAAGAGTAAGAGAGAAAAAAAAATGAATACTTCAAAATTAGCAGCAAATAGAGAGCAAAGGTCCGTATTCCTAAGGAAATAGGACCCACCAACCCTGAATCTATAGGACAGTCACCACAAAGACTGATAGCACTGGAGTCTGCAAGCAGTGGGAAGTCTGATAAAAACAGAAGAACAGGAAGTGGTGACAGGGAAAGAAAAGCAAGTAGGAAGAAAGGAGATAGAGAGAGGTAAATAAGGAGCACAGAAGAGTCAGTAAAACAGCAAGGATAAGGAATAACACCGGCATGCAGCTACAACATATGATCCCAAAGAAACAAGCACTCCAGGAAAATCACACAGGCGGATGAAAGGAGCTAGACAAAGTCATATGACAGAATAGGGAGACAAAAGGACTTGAGTAACAAGGGCATCACACCCCAACAAACACTGTCAACAGATCAACCAAATATGAAGGGATAACTCCATAGAAGATAAACCTGCAATTGAAGAGAAGATAAATGAACTAGCATCTGCCAAAAAACCCCAAGGGAAATGGTGGAAATAAGGTGAATAGAGGAAATAATGGAAAAGGGTACAGAGTATAAATTGAAAGTGGGAAATTTAAGCCTAAGAAAAAGCATTACAAAACGAAATTAGGCCTAGTCATAAGGGGTAACAAAGAAGGGAGGATGAGGAATGCCTGCACCAAAGTAATGGTAAAAGGAATTGAAAATGGACTAGCATATCTGGATAGAAAGTAAAAAACAAAAAGCAAGCAACAATTTGCAAAGAGAAGGAGAGAAACATACCTGAGAAACCTAGTACCAAAATTATGAAAAAGGCTTAGGTAGATTCAAAACAGCATGGCTATACAAAATAAGGCAAAGGTACGTAGTGAGAAAAAAATGAAAAATCCCTTCTGTTCCGAAAGAGACACACAAGTAGAGGTATATTAGATATAAAAGAAGGCACAATCTCCATGAACTATTACATCAACTGCTGCACCAAAGCCATCACATCTCCCAACAGACAAAGACAACCCTGATGCCACTGTAGGTGTGATACTAGCATGAATAACGTCCTGTTGCCTTAAACCAGATATAGTGGAAGTTACTGATATTAATAATGTGGAAATAAAAGGCTGCAAAATCTGCAGCTGCAGAAAATGTTGGAAAGCAATAATCCAACAATAAATAATTCCACAACAGGCAATGTCTGTTTTGATACCTCCACTTAAAAAATGCCTAACTCTGAATTCTTCACGAGGAAAAACGGTCATGTCAATACACACAAATGCCAAGTTGAGAAGTAACAGTATAGAATGAGTCAGCTGTGCTAGGGGGATGTATTGCACTCATACTGTTCATTTGCACGCTACAATGCAGCTATATCACATGTAATAATGTGAATTTAGATGGGAGCCTCTAGGCTAGTGGCAAGTTAAAACTGTGCATATAGAGGGCAGCACAAATCTAGGAAAGCTATTTTGTGAGTGAAGGTAAGGTATTTTATCAGAAGTAATTAGTTCCAAGGTATATTTTAATTGTCTGACTAAATGAGAGATAGGTGGAGTCTGATACACAGGAATACCATGTCCTACAGTGCTATAATTTTTTTAAATTATTGATTATTTAGGTTTCACACTATAATAGCAGGAACACATGGTCCAAGGTGTCTAACATTGTCTTATTCTAGTTGCCTTAGTCCTTTAGCTAGATATTATGTTTTGAGACTGGGTTAAAACTAGTTAGAACTAGGATGTCCTTTGATGTTAGTTGGATTGGATAGCTGACCATTGTTATCAGAGAACAGAAGTCATGAGATAACATTGTTCACTGAACAAAGAAAGCACCTTGTTTGGATTCTAGGTGTTATCTTTGTATTAGTTCACTCCTAGTGTTTGCAGAGGGAAGACCTTTTAAAAAATTTTTCAGTGTTTAGAATTGAGGTAATCTATCTTGCAAGAAAGAGGATTTCAAGACTAAACATTGTGTAACTTGGAATGAAAACTTTTTTTTTTTTTGTTGGGTGTTTTCAGTTTCTTTTTGTGAATAAAGATTTTTGTTTGTTTTACGAAATGTCTGTTGTCAAGCCTGTTCAGTTTCATGCCAAACAAATCTTCAGTTCAAATATTTTTTATCACAAGAAGTATAATTTTTCCCGGTCAGAATCTGCTGTTATTGTGGATAATTCTATTAGATACATATCAAGAACACAATTTTTAACAGACATTTAACCATAACAGCAAATTTTCCCATGTGGCCTAAGAGATGTCAAAAACCCTCAAGACTGGTCATAAACAGCAAACTGGAAACAAAAAAATAAATCTCCCGAAAATATTACAAAATAAAGGATCAATATTTTAATTGACTACACAACCAACAGTTCAAGTTTATAAATAAGGTATCTATAGAAATATTAACCTTTGAAAGATTATATACATATTATTTATAGCGATGGAAGCACTGATATACAAGACCTTGTAGTATTCCCTCTTTGTGCAACTTTTTGGTTTCTGTAGCACCTCCAATGCACTGCCCACTAATGAACACACGTGGAACCTGAAAAATATAAAAGAAAATTAGAATGTAAAGTACTAAAAAAACTTATCAAGCTTGCATATTAGTTTGTGTAATAGTGAAAAAAATAATACCTGGACTATAATCCTCTACTTATATTATAAAAATCAAATACACAATGTCATCATACCAATAATTAAATTTCTAACTGTTATTAATTTTTTTAAATCTACAAATTATACTTTTTAAGGTAATAACTGAACATTAAAGAAACATTTAGATCCCTCAAGAACACAAAATAGTAATATTTACCTAGTTAGCAATTTCCATTAAAAAAATAATAATACGGCAGTTTCAATATGATTAGGAGCTTCAGAACCCAAGTCTTTCAAAAGAAGTTTTCAAAATCACCAAAACATTCTATTGATTTCCATAAAAATATTTAAAGCATCACATTAATCTTTACTAAGATAATCAGCTTTTTACTTCTTATTGCATTTTAATGTAATTTATTTTAGGTTTATTTCCATATTTTATTTTTCATGGCTAGTATCACATAATTAATCACATCACACTTTCATAATCTCACGTTTGATAGTTTTACTGTTATACTAACTATCTTTGGAAAAACCAATTGTATTACAGATTTAAACCAAGGAATCTTTTCTTACAGTATGTTAATATCATATTCATATATAAAATCTCAGCCTAGTTGATACTCTTACCTAATGAAATTTTACTTCTTTTCAGGGATGACTTACAAATCTAGAACATTGCAGTTGTGTAAAAAAGAATAATGGTACAGTGAATGACACTAACTGTCCATACAATGAAGGTCATCCTTTAAAGCTTACAGTATTGCTATTTCAAATTTTCATTTGTAAGTACAGCACCAAAAAATACTGCATTGTTAAGTCACAATTTTGCTTTATTTACTACCCTAAGGAAAATATTTTACACAAATCTTCATATAATAAAATATCACATTTTTTTTGCTTGTTACAAATCTGAATATGTAATTGAAGAACATTTTTATTCCTTATAGGAATCTGAAAGAATCAGTTTTGGAATTTTGCAAATTGACTTTACAATAATTCTGTATCACTGTTTAAAGACTGATGGATTATTTTTCTCTACTTTAAACAACCCTATTAACACTTACAGTTCTAGCCCCTGTTAGAAGTTCCAAAGCATTTTGTAACTCTTTTTCATCACCTCTCTTATCTATCTCCACTACTTTGTAGGGAATTTTGGACTTGTCAAAAATCTGAAGAAAACATGTTTTCACTGTAAAAAATTTTACAATTAAATGTATTTTGTTACTTTTAACATGAACTATGATCGTAATTTTCTTTTAGACACTAATAGTAAAATGAAAAATTTGGGGTTAAAAGCCTATATTTAAGTATGTGCATGACATTTTCACCAGAAATGTACACAAAACCTACTTCATAACTTATATCTATGGCATTTTACAAATACAGCTACCAAAGCCAGGTTAAAACTAGTTTTCTTACACTATATAATGAAAGACATTAAATGTCAATTGCAGTAACACAGAAAATGTCTGAATGCTGATAAACTTATATGTAATCAATTTAAGAATGTACGTAAGATGATAAAAATCTATATACATTACATATATGCAAAACATTCAATAACACTATTACACACGGTTTAGGAATTCAACATTTGAAACATTACACTTCTTTCACACGTATTAACACTTTAAAATATTCAGCCATGTACTACTTACATTATTTTTAATGACATTTATGAACTATTTATGCAAATGGTATAACACTTACTACAATAGTTTGTTTACAGTGTATAATTTCCAATATTTCCTTTCACTGAAAATATTTCTATATACACGTGCAAATAAAAACTGAGTTTTTACTGAAAGTTAGTTTGTAACAACAACAAAAAAATGGGGTAGTTATTTACTTGACCTAACAATAACTATAACAAAATTGTAATATATATTTTAGACTGGATATTTAGTTAGTATTTCACAAAATATCTTGAATTATTTTTAAGAAAGCAGTATTTAATGACAGTTAAACAACTGGTCTTAGTTTTTCATCAAGAAAAGGAAAATTGTTTAAAATTTTGGCAAGGTCTTCATGTAAATCTCTTGACTACTCAAAGAAGCAAAATATTAATAAACTATAAACTTTAATACTTGTATAACTTTACAACTGTATTAAGTATAAATAGTTTGGTATAACCAATAGCTGCTTTTTATGTCATAAAAAAATTGTCTACCAAGCCTATGAATAATTGAAAGAGACATTTTTTATCCACTTAAATATCCTGCTAGCTGTAACTCCAAATTACACATTAAACTATCATGAAATATTTTAAAATACAATTTAGCTGTTTTTCTGTAGAACTGATAAAACATTTGACATAACTTGCTTTTTATACAATTAACGTAACATTTATGAAAGGTGTCAGCCATATAACTATGGTTAACACTCTATATATGGGCTAACTCATTTTAACAGACGTAAGTAACCACGAAACTATACATACTATAACTTTTAAACCAGTAAGTGTGTCTTCATAACATTTGGCAAATTTTTAGTAAACTTTACAAGTCTTTTGTACATTAAAAATCAGTTTTTAATTACATATTTTTACTAATGATTTGTCTGTGAAGTTATGAAGTCTTTAGTGTCCAACAGCAAGATGATTTTCATATTTCATTTGCATAACCTCTAGAACATCCTCAATAAATCTCAATTTTTTTCCGTAAACTATGTATTTTATGTTATTTTCTCTAGCCTAACACTAAGAGTACCAAAATTTAGCAAAATGAAAAGTTGAAATTACCCAACTTTCTTGAATGACTTCACATTGTAACAGACTATTATTCTTAGTACCAAAGTTAATACTTTTCAAAATTGCCATTCATTTATTTTATTGCTTTACAGCTGTATACTTTAGATCATTTCAGAAAACAACAAAAGCTATTATCACAGCATGAAAGTTTTGTGTAAATAAATTATCAAGTTACCAGCAGCTCGTCCAATTACACACTCGCAATGTGTGTGTGTGTGCTATCATGAGCATTTTGTATATTTAATTTTTCTTACCTGATGGAGTAAGTTTCTAATTTTTACATTTTAGTAAATTTTATAACCATAAATAAAAACGAAATTTAGTACTTTGCTCTCAGGCTCCACAGTGAAACTTAACCCTACTTTTTTGTAATGATGGTAGTAATAATATACACCTGG